AGGGTTGTGTCATCTGCATAACGCAGGTTGTTGATGATTCTTCCACCAATCCTGATGCCACATTCCTCTTCGTATAGCCCAGCGTCTCGGATGATCTGTTCTGCATCAAATTACCAGATGTATCATCTCTACCAGGCTGGTGATAGTGTCTTTACAAAGGAAAAATTAGTCAAGACATCATCAAATGTCAGGTGACCACAGACCACGTATCTTAAGATAACAAAATGAGTTTTTCTAAAGGTCATGGAGGGACAACAGGATGCCCAGGGAAGGGACTGCCCTGATGAAAATGTATACCTTCCTTGGAAGCGCCTACCAGTGGTTCTTCACTCAGTCCCTCAGCCATCCCCTAAATTCTCCTTGTTCACTTCAGAAGAGGTGGGGCCCTCTCACCCTCACAAAGATCAGAGATACCAGTTAATAGAGGTTCCAAGTCTTCCCTTGTTGACCTCCACCATCAGGCATCTGCTCCAAGAATCTCCATGTTCTTCAAAGAATGTCAGCACCCAGCTTCCTGATATTCTCCTTGACATTGGGGTCCAGGGACAGACTGATGATCTCCTTGATATTGGGGTCTGGGGGTGGACAGACTCTGTTCCTGCACTACCTCCTTCCTAGTGTCAGATGGAAGACTTTACCAGTTGCTCTCCTGGAGAAAAACAGTGGACAGGCCCGAATCCATGGTAACTAACACCAGAGTCACCTTGCCCTGGGGGAAGAGCACTGGCCACGTGGCCACAGAGCAGGCATGAACCCTACTCCGTGTCTGACCATGCATACATTACTTCTCTGAAACCCTGGCTTCTAGCCCCTGAAGTTTATGGGGCTCACCATCTGGTCTCTCTCTGTATCTGAGGTGTGAGTGTGGAGAGAGGGCAGGACGATGGTGCCCTGAGCCCCGGGTTACAGCTGAAGCGGCAGAAGGCTGAGGGAGGGGATTAGCATGCTCCCTGTCAACTGTGCCTGCAGACGGACATCAGGGTCGCCCCTCGAAGATGATCACCAGCTTCTCCAGGATTCATCTTCCTGTTCTTGGTCTTGTAGCTACAGCTCCTGGTTCTCTTGAATGCAAGTTGTAGGTCTTCAGATACTGAGAAGTTCCAGGTACTGGGAAATCCATCCTTACTAATGTGTTTAATTAATCTGCAAGAGACTAAGGAAATTTGACAGTTGTGCTTTGTCTCATTTTATTAATTGGGGGGGGTGGGAGGAACGATAAAACTTTCACACTGTAGTCCAAATGGAGGTGCGCTGTTCATCCTCTGACATTATGAAAGCACCAGAGACTTTTCAGGAGAAAGCCGGACAATCTTTCCTGTGATTTACAACCTTGGAAACCAGACAGACTGTAAGTTATGAGTCATTTCCAACTTAATGGTGATGCGTGAGTGCAGTCAAGTTAGGGCTCGGAGTGGGGACATCTGCCCCCCAGGCTGGCTGTATCTCGTATGTCCTGCAGGCCTGGGTTGCACAATAGTGGCTTTGGGCAGGTGCTAACAGTTAGCAACTGGAACCAGCTACACCTTAGAAGCTGCTGCAGGGCCAGAGTTTGAGGCCAGACAGCCTCAACTTCCCAAGCTGGTTTGCTGACCAAATCTCCCCACCTCCCACCACACACCTCTTTCTGGGATCTGTATTCAGTGACAGGCAGCTGAGATAAGAGGTGGAATCTTACCAGTCAGGACTAGGAATCAAGTGCCTCAGCCTTGGCAGAGAAGATGCTGAGAGTTGTTGGGGTGGGAGTGGGGAGCTGCCTGGCTTTCTCCTCATACAAGTCCTTCCAATTTGAAAAACATAGTTTTACTATGATGTTTACTGTTTGAGCTCAGGAGACTTTTCAGTTGGTTGTTTCAGTTTCTCTTTGAGAAACAAGAACATCTGCAGGGAGTCTCCTCCCTCTCCCCTGCCCCATTCTCGCTACAATACGAGGTGTCAGGTTGCCTCTGTGCTAGTCAGACATGACCTGCAAGACCATGTCCGCGCAAATGACGAGCCTGGGGAGCCTCGGCGTGGGGCAGCTGTGTCTCTGCACGCTTCTCATCTCCCTGTTGCTGCAGTCGCTGTGCATGGCAGTGACTTACGTGTACTTCACCAACGAGCTGAAGCAGGTGAGTGCAACGATTGCCTCCCCGTGTCCGACACTTCCCGCGGCCCTGGCCATGTTCGCTCTCTACCTGTTTGTCCTAGAAGAGGTGGCTGGGGAAGAAAACACCCCCTTTCTTTGTCTGTGGACTCTAACTGCCAGTGCATACAATCGCATTGGTAATAGTTTCAGTTCAAGAGAAAATCCAGTTCTGGAACTGACTCTATTAGCTGATTAGTGAGTGCAGGCAACAAAATTCCGGGGGCATTTCCCATTTTTGTCTTAAAAGGTATATATGTATATGTGTGTGTGTGTGTGTATGTGTATGTGTGTGTGTGTGTGTGTGTGTGTGTGTGTGTGTGTGTCTATCTCTATCTCTATATAGAGATAGAGATAGATAGATCGATCTATCTATATATATCTAGTAAAATGTGTGTAGGGATCCAGTGGGGAGAGGAAGGAGCAAAGGGGTGAGGATGGGAGGGGAAACCTTAGAGTCGCACAATTTTGGGGTGGAGGAAGGTGGAATAAAGGAAATAGAAAAGATGCAGGGGGAATCTGGAAAGACAGGGGTGATTAATTTTATAAAACATACTGAGTAAGAATGATTGTATGGAACATAAGGTGAATGAAAGATGATGTGAAAAACAATGTACACAAACTTTGTAAACAAACCAATATAAAATAAAAAGCTTTTTAAAAAGAATGCAATGGAAACAAGTTTATGAAAGTAAAAAAAAAGTGTGTGTGTGTGTGTGTGTGTGTGTGTGGAGATATATATATATATCTCTTGGAGAGGGACATTATGGTTGGGAGGGTGGAGGGACGGCGCAGGAGAGGAAGGCCCTCTATGAGGTGGATTGATTCAGTGACTGGGATAATTGGGATGGGAGTGTCAGAGACAGTGCGACTGGCACAGAACAGAGCGGAGGTGAGGGCTGTTATACATAGGGTCGCTATGAGTCGCAAGCGACTCGATGGCACATAACAACAATGTATGTATATAAAGGAATATACAATAAGGGCTTAATTAGTCATTGCAGTTCATTCCATTAGTCAGCCAATGAATAATATTATCAAACAAAACAGTTTCTCTCTCATTTGAATTTCCAGTCTCAGAAGCCTGGTGGAGGCTGGCAGGAGTTGGAAACCACTGTCCAGCAGTGAGGTCTGACCGCTGCTTGGACATTTTCCTCTGATAGCTTCATGCATGTCGTCCTCACTAACTCCTGGGGGAGCACGGGGACAGGAGCTACGCGTGCTTTTGCTCACGACTGCTCCTCCATGCCAGGTGTCATACCTCCTGAATGAGTGAGCAACATCTGCTCCAGCCTTGTACTGTGCACCACCAGCAGGTACAGAGGAACAAGACTACTGAGCGCAGTGGCTTGATGTTCTGGTCCTGACGGGTTCCAAGGCACTGACAGACAGATGGCAGCTGCTCAAAGATCTGCAGAGGTGCTTTTTAGGCTCTGGTGGTGATGCGTGTGTACTCTTCAGTCCTCACTTTCTTCTTCTTCTCCCCCATCTTCTGCTTCCTCTCCCTTTCTCTGAAGCATATTTGATTGTGTGTATGAAAAACTTTAATACAAACAGACATATTTTGAAAAGTTAGCAGACAAAATAATGTGGGAACTGCAATGAGACCAAGGTTTTGGGCTGTCAGGTTTCTCGGATTGGTTTGTATCTGTGATACATCCTGTTTGCTGTTGTGCTGTGATAATACAGTATTAACTTTATCAGCTGGCTAAGAAATGCAAGGCTAAGGGTCTCAGAAAAACACAACTTGCAAAAAGTCATAGTTTTATAATGGTCTGTTAAAAAAATGACATTGGTTTACTCAGAGGAGTAGAAATTTGCCTATCTTGATTGATTGGAAATTTTCCCTCTGGGAATGGATAGTTTTGGCTCGACTTGCACATAATTATGAAATTATGACTATCATTAGATGACCAGAAAAATCAGTTTTATTTATAGAGCACATCTAGGGAAGGCTGTACACTTGTAAGGAGAAGACATCAGTGTAACTACAGCCGGGCCTTTAGTTAAGGCTGCGTGCCAAGCTAGGGACCTGGCAGGTTTGGGGGCGGAGCCACCACGCCTTTCGCTAACTTTGCAGTTAAACAAGTGAAGCTTCCTCAGTTTGCTCACCTTACAAGTTTGCCTGCTTTTAAGGCTGAATCAGCTGATTGCTTACTGACTAACTTAAACAATTGCCATTTAGATAAGCCAAGGGGTTTGTGACTTGAATACCAATCAAGATGACAGTCCCAAATAAAGCTTAACACCCAGTGGTGGTGGACATTGTTCCTTCCTGCTCATATAAATGTGCATTTATTTGCAGACACGTAAAGGAATAAACTGACAGAATGACAGGCTAATGTACAGACATGCCACATGTTGCTGTTAAGTGCCGTCCAGTCGCAGGCGACTCCTAGTGACCCTATGAAGGAGAGTCCTCGACGCTTGGGTGCCTTTCATCCTCTATCCACGTTCATAGGGTTTCTGGAGACAAGCTATTATAGAAGTGGATGCCACTCCTCCTTCCAAGCTTGTTTTAATCCGGGAGCTCCACCCCACTCTCTGTCCACATTGGACATGCCATCTACAAAATGCAAAAAACTTGACTTAGCGTTACTGTTTTATCTTGTAACAGCCTGTCACACTTTTTGTTCCTGTGATAACTACCACAGCTGATGGCCTTAACGAACAGATATTTTCTCCACGTTTGGAAGGCTAGCAGTCAGATCCAGGGTGCAGGCTCTCGAGGAAAACGTTTCCTCTCTGCTGGCGCCCATGGAAGGCTCTAATCAACTTTCCAAATTGTGCTTCTGGACCCCTCGCTGCTCTTTGTGTGACCTGGCGTCTGCCTTCCCTCATCTCCCTGCACTTGTATTTTTATATTTGAGAGACTGTGATCAAACGTCTCTAGTGTCCACAGCTGATACCAAACCCGTGAGACTGTCTCTGTCAGAGACCTCTCAAAAATGACTATTTTCATTCAGACTCTTTTTCTAGAGGAAAGCAAAAGGTCACCATTATATGTGATTCCTCCCTTAAGCTTTGGAACTCCCTACGTTAAAAAGGCAGAGACAATGACTTACTTGGCCTCCATCTCTCTCTCTCTCTCATTGACTTGTAGTTGCCCCTTCTGTGGGTTTTCGAGGCTGTAAAATGCCCAGAAGGAGATTGCTTTCTCTCTCAGAGTCACAGAGTTTGGGTTAGTGCCCTTGACCAAGCAAGGGCACTAGCATAGGAAAACAAGGAAGGAGTACTTTGTTTCGATTGTTACAGAAACATAACAATAAGTTTTCTGACCTTGTCTAAGCTTGCATGTTTTTCCTGGCAAGATATAAAAATCTGATTAATTAGCAGTGGGAATTGTTTGAGGCGGGTTTTGGGGTGTGTCTGTTGTCATAGGTCATCCCTTTTTTAAACAATAATTTGACGATTGAAAATGCTTTTCTACCAAGGTTGTTGTTAGACTGATTTTACCTCTTGGCGACCCCACACATGGCTGTTTTGTTAAAAAATAGATCACCAGATGGTCCCTATGGGTGAACTTGAACTTCCAGCTTTTGGCGAGCAGTCAAGTGCATGCAATCCTTGCATTGTCCTGGGATTTCCTCTTGAGTAAAAAGTCTGTTTACTCTTTGCACTCTCCTAAAAGAAGTGGATGCCTGTATTTGGCTCGAGTTAACCCAATTTTCTCCAGACATAAACAGTAACTGGACATCTTTGTTGTCACAGCCACCCACTACACTAGGATCTGGCGCTGCAGGATGCCTGTACTCTGCAGACTCAGGTAGACTTTGTCAGGCTTTACAGACGGATGAGCTGGAGGTTTCCACTAAGGTGCACCTTTCCTGCAAACCTTGAGATGGCGCTAAACTTCCTTGTAGATAAATTCCCACCTGGTATGGACAGGTAATGAGGCCCCTTTCAAATCGGAAATACCAGCGGGGTCGAGATTCTTCCACACAAACTAGAAATCACAAAAAGAACTGGAATTTACTTAGGGTAAAATATGTCTTGGCTTCCCAAGCAATGCTCTTGACACCAGCAATCAGGAAATAAAATAAGACAAACTGCTTTAGGTAAATTTGCTGTCAGGGGTCTTCTCCAGAGTACTGAGAAGCAATGATGTCAGTCTAGAGATTAAAGTGCACCTGATCCAGGCCATGGGCTTCTCCATTACTTGCTATGCATCAGAGAAGAAGACAATGACTAAGGATGACAGAAGAATTAATGACTTTGAGTTGTGGCGCCGGAGAACAGTCTTGAACATACCATGGACTGTCAAGAAAATAAACAGGTCTGTCTTGGAGAGGGTGAAACCAAGTTTTCCCTTGGAGGCTAGGATTTTAAAGCTCTGTCCCACATACTTTGGCATGTGAGCAGGAGGGACCGATACTTGAAGAAGGACATAAGGGCAGGGAGGGTGGAAGGGACGGTGCAAGAGAGGAAGACCCCAGATGAGATGGACTGATACAGTAACTAGGGCAATGGGAGTTGGTGTGTCAGAGTCAGTGAGGCTGGCTCAGGTCATGGCAGGCTTCAGAGCAGCTGTACGGAGGGTCACTATGGGTCATAGGGGACTCAATGGTACATAACAACAACAAAGCTGTTGAACAACATTTCTTGAAAATGTCCCCAGGGGATATAGACAGTCTTTAAATACACGGAGAGAGGGACAACGTTGTCTCCACTGCCACCCAGGGGGCATGAAAAGGTGCTTCTGAGAGTTTGGCAGGATTTAACTAATTGTTTTTAACTTCTTAGAGGAATGCAAAACTGTGCGTGCACAGGTAACGGAAATTTTGTAAAACAAACGCCTCTACTATGTAACCAGATCAAGCCTCATAACGCTACTGTAAAGCAATTGCCTCTTCTGTGTTTTGTTTTTAAAAAAATTAGGACCCTGGAATTAAGCTGACTTTACTCTTTTATCTTGTAACTAGATGGGTTCCCAGCTTTAGAAGGTCAGAGTGGTAAAGGATCTCCTGTGTCAACACAGGGACCCAGTTCAAAACTCACATGACTGTACACCGGAGGGGGGGTCATCTTATCACGGGGAGGACACTGTGACCCAACTGTGACCCAGGGTGCCTGACTCACATCTGTAGTCTTCCCAATAAGTCTCACTGCTTCTATTAATCCATTGGACAAAACACAGCAGACTTACCTGTCTTCCAAGACATAAACTTATTGAAGATGCTGAGACCTGTCTCAATTAGTCACCAGCCTCTCCCTCTTGTTCTTCTATTTTTTGTCAGAGCCAATTCATTTTCCATTCAACCATGCAGATACATTTTGTTTTATGACTTCAATTAAAGTCACACTGTAAGAGCACTTTTCCTACTTCTTCCTTATGTTTCTCATTTCCAGTCACCCTCCTAGCCTTCTGAGCTTTCCTCTTGGGTAAACGCTGTTGTTTTGATTGTTGTTGTTGTTGTTAGGTGCTGTCGAGCTGAGTGTGACTCATAGCGAGCCTATGAACAAAAGATCTGAACCCTGACCTATCCTGAGCCTTCTTCACACTTCCTGGCACACTAGAGCCCACTGTGGCTGTCACTGTGTCAATCTGCTTGAGGGTCTTCCCTTCCTTCGCCAGCCTTCCACCCTTCCTAGCTTCACGTCCCTCTCCAAGGAATAGCCCCTCCTAGCAAAATGCCTGAGTATGTGAGGCGGCCCCTCCATACATGCCCAGAGTAGGTCAAATGAAGTTTCACCATTCTTGCCTCCAGGGAACACCTTGGTCATCCCTTTTCCAAGGCATGTTTGTCCTTTGGGCCGTCATGGGACAGTCAGCACTCTTCTCCAGCACCACAACTCAAAGGCCTCGATGATGTTTCTCTCACCCTTATTCAACGTCCAACTAGAAAAAGCATAGCTACTGATTGAAAAGACCATGACTTGAATGAAATATATTTTAATCTTTAAATTGACATCTTTGTTCAGTTGCTCAACTGCTTAGAGCCATCCAATGAGAGGGTGCAGCCTGGAGGTTAGGGATAGGCTCATCACTGCTCAGAGATACAAGCCAAAGCTAGTAGGCACCGGCCAAGGCCTCTGTGCTATCTGTATGCTGCTTGTTTTAATGATTTTGCTATATTAAGCATATAACCCTTATCTGCCATTTATTGTGTTGAAGAGTGATTTGCAGTTTGTTTCTGAGTTTACAGTTTTAGGTATGTATATGTTTGGTTGTTTATAATTTGCTCCTAAGAAAATACAGCGCCTGCCAGTTGCTATACTGAGATAACTCACAAATAGCTGTAATCCTAAAAGCTGTAACACCAAATTTCAAATACTAAAGAGGTCAAACAGATACCAAAGGGGCCAAACAAGGTGGACAGGCTTAAGCAGAGCTTCCAGATGTAGATAGCAAGATAAGATTATCCAGAAACATTTGGAACAGTACATCAGCAGAGAACTGTCAGATGTGCAAGCTGTATTTAGAAGAGGCCATGGCACCAGGGACATTAGAGTCAATGTTAGATGGATCTTGACCAAAGTAAAGAGTACCAGAGGAATGTCTGTGTTTCATTGACTATATAAAAGCATTTGACTGTGTGAATCACAACAAATTTTGGCTAACCTTGAGAAGCGTGGGGATCCCAGAATTCGTAATTGTGTTCATGCAAAACCTGTACTTGCCCCAGGAAGCAATATTCAGAATAGAGGAGGGAAACACTGCATGGCTCAGGATCAGTAAAGGTGTGTGCCAGGAAGCATCCTCTCTCCATACCTTTTCAATCTGGATACACAATAGATCATTCGGGAGGCTGGACTTTATGAGGAGGACTGTGGCATCAGGATTGGAGGAAGACTCATCAACAACTTGCATTATGCAGATGACACAACTCTGCTTGCTGAAACTGAGAGAACAAGAAGAGTATGCTGCAGAAGGTCAAGAACTGCGTTCTTCCATATGGATTGAAAGACAACATTAAGAAAATGGAAATTCTCACCACTGGTCAACTGATAGCTTCCGGATAGAAATAGAAGAGATTGAGATTGTCATCAACTTCAGTTTGCTTGGTTCATTATAGACGCAGAAGAGACTGTGATTGTTAACAGCTTCAGTTTGCTTGGCTCCATAATCAACACTCTTGGTACCAGTTATGGAAAGCCAGATTTCATACTAAATATTTGTAATAAACCAAATGCTACTTCGGGTTATGAGGGAGGCTGATACAAGCTGGAATTCACCCAGAAGCAGTAAGGCAATCCTTAAATGTTTACAGAGGTAGACAGTAAGGCAATCCCTAAACATTTACAGGATTCTTGAATTGTATTTGCTAACCCCTCCCTCCTGAGTCAAGCAGAAAATTTTCAATAGAAAGAGCTTAGCTTCATTCGCATTGAATTCTCTTTGTGATTTGCTCCCTGGCAATTTTCAATAAAGACAAAGGGAAGCTAAGGTCCAATTCATTTCAGTTGTTTGAGAACTGTTTGCCTCCTGCTTGACCTCTGTTTTCTCCTACATTCTTGGTGTCCTGTCTCGTTATTAATACTGATAATAATAGTTTACCCTTGGTCTGCAACAATGAGCACTCAGGAAATCAAAAGATGAATTGCACTGGGAATGTCTGCTGTCACGGACCTCTCCAGAGAACTGGAAAGCAATAATGTCACTCTGTAGGCTAAGGTGCACCTGATACACGCCATGATCTTTGCAGTTACTTGCTATGCATGAGAGAGCTGGGCAATGGCTAAGGATGACAGAAGAAGAATCAGTGCCTTTGAGTTGTGGTGTTGGAGAAGAGTGTTGAACAAATCATAGACTGTCAGGAGAACAAACAGGTCCGTTCTAGAAAAGAAGAAACCAAGCTGCACCCTGGAGGCAAGGATTTTGAAGCTCCATCTCACATACTTTGGGCACACAGCCAGGAGGGACCACTCATTGGAGAAGAACATCATACTTGGAAGGGTGAGGGGACAGCACAGGAGAGACAAGCCTGGAAAGATGATTGACTCAGTGACTGGAGAAATGGGATTTGATCTGTCAGAGACAAATGAGATTGGCACAGGAAAGGGCAGCGTTCAAAGCCGTTGTATAATATAGGGTCGTTATGAGTTGCAGGAGGCTCAATGGAACATTAACAACAACAAAAGAACTAAAATACGATCTTGAGTCTATCCCGTTTGAATGAAAAAAATGTCAAAAATAGGTTTGAAGCATTGACCACCAATGATGAAAGACCAGATGAGCTGTGGAATGATAGCAAAGATGTCACCCACGACTTGTAGATGAATGTTTATTATTTCTGATGTTTTAAGATTATATGTGCATTAGTGCGTGTTTGTTGATTCTATTTTTAATGCTTTTCTCCATCTTTCCTTTTATTTCTATTATGCAGATCATCCCCTATTAAAGAACATCTTTTGCCTCATCATCTTAATATAGGTCTATTAGCTATTTACTGATTTTTACTCCCCTCCCTCCTTTTCCATTCCCATCCAATATTGACTTCTATCTGTAAATCTTTCTTTAGCTTTTTATAATGATGGACACACACACTACTCATCCTCAGTCTCTGTTGTTTAAGTCATGGGTGAACCAAGAGGAAAAAGTACCTGAGCATAATATGCAATATTCTATCTCAATCTAGATGCAAGACAAGTACTCCAGAAATAGCCTTGCTTGTTTGTTACTGGAAGATGACAGAGATTGGGAACCCAGTGAGGAAGACAGTATGAACAAACCCTGCTGGCAAATAAAGGCTCAACTATACCAGTTCCTTAGAAAGGTAGGTGAGTTGGCATGTAATCTACCCAACAGACGCTATGATCAGGGCACAGGGACTGTTTACCATCTATGTACTTTATTTTACAAATGACAAGCCCAATTACAATTTACTCTGGTCCATAGAAAGAGTGGGACAGCTCCAAAGGTAAGATCCTGGATGACTCCTAAACATTTTGGAGTTCATTCCCTAAGCCTCCTTATTGAATCTTTTTCTCTAACTATGTGGAAAGGAAGCCACAGATAAAACAAATCTTTAAGATCATTTAACAATAAAGAATGTTGTAATGATTTGGATTTTTTTTTTCATTCAGGAGATATGACATACCAAATAATGACGCTTTACATCCTTTACAAAATGTTTCTCTCTGGTGTTAAGTATCAACTTTTGTACGGATATTCACTGAGAAATTGGAGATTATGACATTTAATTTTCTGTATGATAGATTGGCAGCAAAAATCATTCTTTCTAGACACTGCTTAAATAGAACCTCTAGAGGAAACAATTGGTTAGCTAAGCATTTATTTAAAATGTTTTAAACTAATCTCATGGAGCTCTGGCAGCCTAGTGGCAAGAAGCTGCGCTGCAATCCCGAAGGCATGTGGTTCAAGGCCACCAGCTGCTCCACAGAAGGATGACACCCTCTTCCTGTATGATTAATTGCCTCTGAAAACCCACTGGAGGGTCAGCTATTGTTAAACTCCAACTCTACAACAAACTAATCTTGCTTTAAACAATGTGAATCATTTCTTCTTTCCATTTCCTCCTTTGTAAGTTGGAATTTAATAATATTTATCGTCTGCCTATCTTAAAAGCACATATAAACATACTCTGGAACTACAAAAGCGCTGTGCCGTCATATTCTGGGGCTCTTCCCTGGTACATGGAGGCTGGGTGTCATAGGCACGTCTGTGAGCCTACTGTGTGACTCTCAGGATCCACTCTGACATCATAACATTGTTGTTTAAGTGATTAAGCTTTATAATTCTGAGCAATATTCACAATAGATCTCAGGATTTGATTCTATTTCTGTAGGAAATGAAATCATACTCCCACCTGGGGGTGAGGGGGCGAGTCTGAAAAGCACATTTGGTCTGTGACTATTCTAAAAGTGTGGTCTATTTTGGGACACCTCACTCCTCACAGGTGGTCTCAAAAGCTCAAAATCCTTTGATCCTTGCTTCAAAGGACAATGTTCAGGGAATAAGGGTTAAGAAAAGCCTATGGCTCGGGAAAGGTCTGAAGACCTGAAGAATAGGACTCCAAGGAGAGTGAGACCACAGAGACAGGGCAGGTAACAGAGGTGAGAATCCCAGAATGTAGCACTTGGGCCAGCCAGGGAGCCACTGGCCTGTGGAGTAGGAAGAGAAGTAAATGACGAGGAGAGGTTTTACTTACCTCTTGCCCACTGTTTGCCTCTCCCAATCTCACATCTTGCCACCAACTAAAACAGAAGCTGAGACCCTTATCCCCTCTTTGTTTTGTTTGTTTCAAGGGAGGGCGTGGGTGGCTTGTTGTGGCATACCATCCTGTTAGAACTGACCCAGAGCTGACCCTCCGGCAGATTTCCAGAGGCAGGTACTTGCGTGGGAGGAGGTTTCCCATCCTACTCCAGCTGAGCAGCTGGTGGACTTGGACTTGTGACTTTGGGATTACAGCACAGCTTCTCGGTCACCGGAACTCCAGAATTGTGTTACCAGTGCAGAAGCATGCAGTTCGAATCCACCAGCTGCTCCATGGGAGAGGCATGGGCTGTGAGCTTACAAATCATGCTAGTGTTTCGACCACATGCATTTTGTTTTACAACACTGTAATTACAATTTCATTTGAACATGCATACATATTTAGTTATCAAAGTCTGGGGACGTTCAGGCTGATCAAATTTGGCAGGATGGCACCATTCTTGCTCTTTACTTCAAGGGCAGACTGTCAGAGACGTCATCCAAAAAAGAAAAACTTCCTCAACACAGAGGAAGTTCTATCTTGCCACCATGATTAGAAACAGCTTCCACACCACACACAACAGGACTCACTCTATCACACCAACACCCGACTCTTGAACAAGCTGAAGCTGCCTGTATTGATACCTGAATGAGCCTTGGTGATGTCCTGCATAATAATGAGATAATAACAGAGTTGATGGTTTGAGTCCACTAGCAATTCCATAGAAAAGATGGGCAGCCTCCTTCTGTACAGATTCATGGTCTTAGAAACTTGATGAAGGGTAGTTATGAGTCAGAACCACCTCGACAGCAGTGGATTTCGTTTGGATTTGTATTGATACCTTGTTTCAAAATGCCACCACTGATCACGGATCAATGGTGATTAATTTTATAAAATGTATGGGAATGATCGTATGAAACACAATGTGAATAGAGGAATGAATGAAACACAACGTATATAAATGAAACACAATGGATACAGATTTTGTTGTTTTTTGTTTTATTATTTTTTATTATTATTATCATCATCATCTGTGTGTGTGTGTGTGTGTGTGTGTGTGTGTGCGCGCGCGCGTGCCATCAAATTGGATCTGACTGGTACAGGAGGACTGTCCCTCCTCCAGCAGAGCATCTGGTCGATTCAAATCACGCATCTTGGGATTGCAGGGCAATTTCTTGCCACCAGTCCACCAGAGCTTGCCTGGGTACATATTTTGTATGCAAATAAATATGAACAAAAAAAATATTTAAAACAACAACAACAAAGGAAAAATAACTATTTTAAAAAAAAAAAATGTCACCGTTAAGACATCAGCAGGAAGTCTCATAGTTAGACCATGGTTGGTTTATATATCTATATATAATTTTTAGGTAAATTAACAACCTTTATTCAATACTGTTTGCAGATGGTTTTGAGAGTCTATGAGGAAACCAATCCTACAGGCCAAGGTATATATATTTTTGTTGTTATTTTCATCTTCTATTGTCAATTTTGTGATTGGATGGAAAGAAAATGGATGCAGTGTGGGAGTGATCGAGTCTGACTTCTACCCGCTTCAAAAAGAGAAACTGTCCCCATCAATAATATCAAATAAATAATTACATGGTCAGATATGCCATTTCCTGTGCTCCTGTTCCTATTTCTATGAATCACGGTTTCCCAATCATTGTATGCCCAAGGTTTGTTGCAATCTGACTCAAAGACTTGTTTGCAGTTGTGGGGTTTATTAGGGAAATAGGTTTGGTGTGGGGAGACAAAGAATGTCACATAGTGAAAGTCCAGGTTCAGTGAACAACAACTCCAAGCCAGTCTAACAGCAAGACACAATTTCTCATTTAGTTCAGACAGCTTCTCAGTCAACAAATGAAAATCTAGGTTCATTTCAGCAATGCAAGTAAACCTCTGGTTTCCTCAATCATCCAGCAGGCTTTGTCTCATAGCAGTTACAAATCATCTCTTCACTCAGTTATCCAGAAGCAAATCCTTTAACTGCAGTTCCATTGCCAGGGGTCCTGTGATTACACCTTGCCACATTCTCTTCACTGTCTGCCACAGTCTATCCACAGTCTCTCACAGTGTAGAAAGTGCTCTGTTATCTTGGTTCCACAGCTGTTGATGATTTACAAGACTAAGTATTTGCAGCTGAGGTACCTGCAAGTCATGCCCCCAGTGAGGTCTAACACAATGGATAGGAAAGCCAGTTTTGAAAGTTCTGACACCACAGACCACCGCCTGACTTTTCTAGCCATTATCTCTCATTATTGTAAGGATTAACTTTCCACTTAGCATCATCTATATTCATGGAAGACATAAGCCTGCTACTACCTCACTCCTTATGTCTTAATTCTCCCATTTTAGTCAATTTCTGATTTTCCCAGTCCTATCAAACCAGTACTCTGAGCAAACAAGCATGTCTTTTTCTTAAAAATCTCCTACTCTGTTGAACCTTTGAATATCCACATTTGTAAACAAAGGTCACGTCCAGAGCAAACCATCAGGTATCAGTAATCAAGTGGAGCTCACAGAATGAAACCTCTTCATCTGGTTGGGTTCTGGTCAGTGCATCCCCAGCCATCCATGGACAGGTCCAAATCGGCATCAGCTGCAAATTTAGAAGTCCACACTTCTTCCTGTGGTTCAGAGCAGTTGGGCCCCTCGCTCAATCTTAACCCCACCTGGACTATGTCAGTGTATCAAGGATCCTCAGTACTCCCTACTCCACAAACCAGCAACCTTTCTTTACATACCCATTCATCATGCCAGGTGGACAGTGCGGAAGGAACACGTCCAACTCAGCCTATCTCTTCATGACTGAATGTCTCTCACTTCCACTCATCAAGTAGGCCCAGGTGGTGACCACGAATTGAGTATATTTGCCAGCTTCCTTTAACATCAAGTTCTTCCCAACTTCTACTCATCAAGTTGACCAAGGTGATTACCACAAGTTAAGCACATTCATCAGCTTCCTTTAACGTCAAGCCCTAGAGAGGGGACTGTGATAGGCATCACCTTGACCTTGCGTCAGTTCATTGGCAAACTTTTTTTCTCTACTTTTCAAACTTCTTTTTTCAAATGTAACTCTCTTCAGAGCACAGAGGGGGGTTTAATCTTAGACTAAGCTCCACACTCTGTACCACATTCTAAAACATTGTTTTAGGGTAAAATTTCTCTTTTTTAATATCCAATTGGCTTTCATTTTCCCTCCAGATTACAATATGTCTCATAATTATAATACCAGGATTAATTAACATTGCTATGCAGAATACATCAATATCCATCATGTATAATATCATATTTTGAAACTAAGCCTCCAGTGCATGGCTTGATGAGAACTGTGGAATATCTATGCTATTACTGAACCTTACCAGACTTTTAGAGATCTTTTTCAACATCACTGTTACTGCTTTCAGGTTTTTCACTTGGAAGATCATGCAATTTCACCAGGACGTACATAGGTTTACTCAAAGAACTATTTCTGGTTGCATCTGTTGTGCAAGCAGCAAATAATTTTCGGCGTATGTTTAAAAAAGCAGCATGTTTCCCTCTAGGTCCTCTCGTATACTGTTGTCTCCATGTCTTGCAGACAATAAACTCAAAGACTTATAGAACTAACATAGATGTTTTGCAAACGTGCTGCAGAATGGTCTGTTGCATTGAGTGAAAACATACCACTTAAGTTCCGAGAAAGCCACTCAGAACACTTCAACAATCCCAAGAGCCAAAGGCCTGTGCTGTATGAATGCACGTCGCTGCGAATTTCTATGGTTCATGATAAATACACACACTATTTGCTGAGTTTTAAGGGTTTTTCTGAGGTCTTCAAAAGTAATGCCTGGAAACTAGGCAAATGTGAGTTTAAAAGGGGGTGAAGAGCTCAGCCCACCTCCAGAACTCCAGTCCTGCAACGGTGTTGTGGCTGCACCATGAGTGGACCTGGCCTTGGCCTGAGCTGGCACCGCCCTGGAGGCCCTGTGCCCTTCGGAGCGTGACTGTTGGCACCACTGAGCTCCATCTGGTGCAGGAGGGGGATGGCAGGTGAGGGGAAGCGAGGGCACAGACAGCTCTGATTTGCCTCCTTTTTCTAAAAAAAGCATGGTCCAAGTAGTTTATTGCAGACTTACAAACTTGAATGAACATGAAAAATTTTTTATTGGTTTGTATAAAATAATTCTTATATACTGTGTTTCATTCCTGCACATTGTATCTGTATAATCTTTCATTTACGTTGTTTCATAACAATCATTAATATACATTGTATTTTATAAATTACTGTTATCTCGGCCTATGTTAACCTGTCTTTTTGAGTCCCCACTGACTCTTACCTGTCCCTTCCCCACCCTCGCCCCCTTCCGCCCACTGTACTCTGCTGTCCTAGTGACGTTCATCTTTCCCTTTTTTTCCGCCCTCTTCTCCCTTTCCTTTTCTTCTTTTGGACATTTAAACTTATCTTACCAGTTATCCTTCCATTTTTACAATAGTGGTCTTATGGTGTATTAAAAAAACTCATTTAAAGTGCTTATGAGCATGGATATCAGTTTAAAGATTAAGGTGCACACTTGACCCAAGCCATAGTACTTTCTTTTTTTTTATTTTTTTAATGATTTATTTTATTTTATTATTTTTGTGTGCATGTACCGTCAAATCAGATCTGACTGGTACAGGAGGAGATTGTCCCTCCTTCCCCGGCAGAGCATCTGGTGGATTCGAACCGTGCACCTCTGGGATTGTAGTTGCAGCCCCTTACCACTAGGCCACCAGAGCTCCCCAGCCATAGTACTTTCAATTGCCTCCTATGTATCTGAGAATTGACAGTGAGTAAGGATGACTGCAGAAGACTCGGTATCTTTGAATTGTGGTATTGGAAAAGAGGATTGAGAATACCATAGACTGCCAAAAGAACAAACAAACCTATCTTTGGTCATGCTATCAGGAGGGGCCAGTTGTAAAATGACATCATGCTGCAAAGGTAAAATGTTGTCAAAAACAGGTTGTTGGAGCACTGGGGAGCACTTTGCTGGACTATCCCAAGTTCGTAGTTCTGTTGTGAAAGAGACTAAAGTCTTCACTTTGTTTATACACTGTTTGGACCTTATTTCTGAGATACTGATACAGCTACACTATAATCTACATGACTGCTTATTTTTATCATTTAAAAACATTAAACATAGATTGAAACAGGTTGGTTACCATACTAAAATGTAGACTGCTGTTTTGATTTGTTTTGTTTTTAAAACTCTATGGTACCAAATTTTTTAAGGCCATTGCATGTATAATAACTGTAAGCAACAATTTCTTCGAAAAGTATTTTTGATGATTCTTGGTCGTTTCTCTTTTAGAAAAGCTACAAGATTATCTAGGAAGTGAGAGAAGTTTATCAAGAGTAGCGGCTCACATAACCGGGCGCAGCCGGAGAACCAGCACACTGTTAACTCTAAGTAAGAGGAACAACAAATATAAACTTAAAAAAGACACTGAATTAATTTGTTCAAGCAATGTTTTTGGTGTTTTGTTGGGTTGTTTTGGTGTTTGCGGGGTGTGTTTTGTTTTTTAATTTTAACTGAATCTGAACCAAGAATATTACTACAGCAAAATGCCCAGTGGTCAACCAGGGTCACAGATTTATCAATCTAATACCTTGTTTTCAAAAGCCAAATTACAGATTCAATTCCTTTCAAGGCATGCCAGCCTCTGAAAAATTATGATGTGAACGAGCTTCATCTTTGAGGTTCTCGAGATCCACTTTTGCGTATCTTCATCTTCCTTAAAGTGGTTTTGTTTCTCCCAGCTATTTCCTTTGCACTCTTGTCAAATTGTCTTCCTCTTTAGAACCATTAAGTCATTGGTTTTCACTGTGTTAAAAGTGACAATGGTCACCCATGGTGGACAGCGTTTGGAGCTCCCCGATTAAAACAAGCTTGGAAGCAGGAGTGACATCCACTTCCGAAATAGCTTGCCTCTGGAAACTCTATGAACTTGGAGAAACGATGAAAGTTATACAAGCGTTCAGGTGTTTTGCTCATAGGGTCGCTATGAGACATCTACGAGTCGATGGCACCTAACAACAACATACCTCATTAGCTTAGTGGCATTTGTACTAAGCTGCACAAGAAGAAATGCCAATATTTGGCCATTTTCTCACTTGCAGACATAACAGTTTCTTATCAATTAAGCAAATACAGTAAGCTTAACTTTAACTTTATTGTATGTGTCAGGACAGTGCTATGGTTAAATGCTTGAGTGTGACTCTCTGACTATTCAAGCTGGAATTCCAGCTCCTTCACAGGAGGAGATGTGATAGATGAGAGACACACAGAAAATACATACAGAGAAAAATATATATGCTGTTGTTGTTGTTGTTGTGTACCATCGAGTCAACACTGACACACAGCTGAAGCTTCGGTGAGTTTTCAGGGTGGTTCATTGCACGAGAGGAGATTGCCCATCCTTCTCCCATAGCAAAGTTCGTGGAACCAAACTTAAGTTTCACATGCAAAATAGAGAACTTCTTTAATTCTAAAGTGTTGAAGATCAATAATAAGAAGTGCCAAGTGTCTGATCTATACATAGTAAGCCCTCAGTAAACAGTCCCTTTTATTATTGTGAAAGATTTTATTTCGAGTTAAAGAAACTTCAGATATCATTTATTACATGAAAGGAATTTTTTTTTTCCTTGGCTGTTGCTTCCCTGGTATTTCTAAACTCAAGTTTTAGAAGTAATTGACATAGTCTCAGATTAGGATCATATTACCTTGTTATTGACCGCTCATCAACAAATCAGATAGGTTTTTAAAAAACTTTTGAAAACCTAAATTTTGTACATATTATGCAGATGGACATAAAGTTTAAAATAATACCATTTTTTCATAGGACCCTTTGATAATGAAAGACTTAAGTTTTGGGGGGTTCGAGATGCAAACGTCTTTAAATCTTAGTATCCTCTGCCAAACTCTGTGCACGCTCTTCTTTTGACCTGCTGTTTGCTTTATTGGGGGCTTTGTCACTAGAAAGTTGAGAAAGACCAAGGACAGACCCCAGAGAACAGAAAGAAGCTCTAAGTTCTAGGCTTAAAGTAGTAGATAAGGTTTTTATGTTGCTGTTTACTTCTAGGTTGACCACTTGAGCTTCCCAGCACAGGAAGGGGGACAGGACTTGTAGAGGTTACTCCCAGGATGAGAATTTGCACAACTGAGTGACCCACCCTGTGTGCTGAGTAAGGCATAAGTGAACAGCAAGGGTCTCTTAACAGTGCACAGTGACACAGGAGCCATCAATAGAAAGTGACTGGACTTCCTAATCCACATAAAACTGAAGCAGCAGCAGCTTTCTGTTAGCTTAGCATTCTTTGCATGCATGTACACACACACACGCTGACCATAGTTGCTGAGAAACTCCCTACTTTGCTGCCAAACCTCTTCTGTTAGATATATAATACAGTTTTCTCCTTCTCTCTTACCACCATCTAGGTTCCAATAATGAGAAGGCTTTGGGTCAGAAAATAAAGACTTGGGAGTCATCCCGAAAAGGCCATTCCTTCCTGAAGAACTTGCACTTGAGGGATGGAGAGCTGGTCATCCACCAAACAGGGTTCTATTACATCTACTCGCAAACCTATTTTCGATTTCAGGAAGAAGACACGACATCAGTAGCAGAGAAAAGAAAGAAAAACAAACAAATGGTGCAATACATTTACAAATACACAAGCTATCCTGATCCGATATTACTGATGAAAAGTGCCAGAAATAGTTGCTGGTCTAAAAACTCAGAATACGGGCTGTACTCCATCTATCAGGGGGGCATATTTGAACTCATGGAGAATGACAGAGTTTTTGTATCTGTAACTAATGAACACTTAGTTGACATGGACCAAGAAGGAAGTTTTTTTGGGGCCTTTTTAATTAGCTAATCTTTTGTCATCAAAGGGGAGGTCTGGTGGCCTAGTCTGTAGGGATTTGATGGTTTAAATCCACAGACAGTTCCTTGGGAGAAATTTCATCTTATGAGAGAGAGAGAGGGAGGGAGGGAGAGAACCGAATTAGTTCCATTTCCAGTCTAGTGCATTAACCACTGATTAAGGCCAAAACTGTGTAAGGCAGGAGCCTGTAAGAAAAGAAAAACTTAAGAATATTTTCCACTAAAACAAAGGATAGAAAAATGGGAAGCCTGAACCTTGCCAAACTCAAAAGATTTGAGAAACTTAGAAAAAATAAGGTAGCCCCATTATGTTCCATGTCTCAATAGTTGACTGTATTTGAGTGTAATTTAGGGATTAAAAAAACCCCTTCTATATATATATTTTTTTTTCACATATTTTCTTTTCATACCAATCCAACAATTATTTTACATTGTGTTTCATTTTATATATATTGTTTTACACAATTTTTCATTTGCTTTGTTTCATACAACCATTCATAGAAATTGAATTTTATATAATTATCATTGATCTATGCCTATTATTATGTCAACTTTTCAAGTCCCTATTGAATCTTTCCAACCCCTTCACCTCCCCTTCCACCCACTAAAGTATGCTAGCTGAGTGATTTTTCACTCTTCCTCTTTTCCTACCCCTTCTCCCTTTTGGACATTTATACACATCTTACTAGTTATCCTTCTATTTTTACACTAATGGTCTAATGCAGTATTTAGACTCATCTATTCACCACTCAGCATAATGCTTTTGAGGCTCTCCCACATTATATAGTATTCAGGAAATAATAAAGTCTCGGCAAGAAAGCTGTTGGGTATAGTCAACCAATTCAACAAAATAGCAGAATACAAGATAAATACACAAAAACGGATTTGTTTTCTCTAGAGTAACAAAGAGAACTTAGAAAATGAAATAAGAAAAACAATCCCAATTAAATAGCTAACCAAAAGATTAGATACTTAGGAACAAATCTAACTAGAGACACATTCAGAGACCTGGTCAGTGAAAATTACAAAACCTTACTATGAGAATCAAAAAGAAACCTAGACAAATGGAAGAAGATACAATATTCAGAGGTAGAACACTCAATACTGTGAAAATGACAAGTCTACAAATTCTACGAGTTCAAAGCAATTCCATTCTTTAGAGAGACGGAAAAGGTTATCTGCAGGGTTTCCAAGGCTGTCAAGATTTAAGGAAGCTGACTGCCGTATCCTCCTCCCATCGAGCTACAAATCACATAGAGGACACTGCCCAACTTTCTCCCTTGGAGTCACTGGTGGATTCAAAACTCCAGAGAAGATCAACCTTTAGGTTAAGAGTGCCTCCCTCTAAGGACTATACCACCAGAGCTCAAATGGATACTTGTCTGTGAATTTAGAAGTTGCCTGACAAGTAGTTTATATGTTTAAACACATACTCACAGTCACACACACACAAACACTCTCTCTCTCTCTCTCTCACACACACACACACACACAGTCTCTCCTGGAGATGTTAATAGAATTGTATTGAGTGATTAATTGATTTGGGAGAATTTTTATATTTTAGATACTTAAACGTGATCAACCATATATATATTTTTTTACTTCCTTTAACCTACTAAATTGATCTTCAACAAAGTTGCGTTTATTTTTTTAGTATTAGAAATGATGTGTTGATGAATTTTGTGTGTCAATCCCGCCATGGATCGTCCCTATAATGTTACTATATGTTCTAAATTTTACTCTGTGATGTTAAATGAGTGTGGAGTTAAGGGTTTATTCAAAATTACTTTCCTCGCTGACTCTGCCACATGAATGGTCAATATGTGAACAGGGCATGTGAGCTTATCCACAAGGGGACTGGCTAGCCTCATCATTAAATTGAGCAGGTCCAGCAGCAGGGTGAGGGTCATCCCCACCAGGAAAACAGAAAGCAGGGTCTACATGGACAGTAGCCACAGCAGCACAGCAGAGAACCAGAGACCCGACATGAGACGAGTGAGATCTCGGGATTGCTCCACCAATGGAACCAGAGCTAAGAGGCTTTGTTCAAGTTTGTTGGACAACTCATGGAGGGGGAGGGGCAGGACTGAGGACCATTTACCTCCGGCCTAAAGCCATGAGGCTCAAGGCTGAGGTGTTTGTGAGCACATTTCAGAAGCTGTCCTGACTGTATTCTGCTACCAACCTGGATTATAGCCTTTTGAGTTTCCAATATGGTTCTGTCAGCTATTGCATCAGATTTTGGACCCAGTTAAACAGATCTGTGTTGAGATGAGTAGAAAGAGATGCGTGAGTATGTGGAACAGGTCTGACCTCGTGGGAATGGGTTTTGTTCTACTGATGCTTTTGATGGGGACAGTTCCCCTTTGTGAAGTTGAAAACAGTCAGATAAGGCCATGCTTATGTTGCTCTTGCTCTTTTTACAATGAGGTAGGATTAGAGGAAGTTCTGAAAATTCATAATCAACCTGAAATGATGAAGCAATCTCTTCAGGGACATGGCCTACATTGAATGTATGTTTGAACTCACTGGAAAAAACGAGGGAGATTTTGGTCTGACCCAACATCTGCCTATCTGACTCATGACCCCAGGATGTGAGTAGCTGACTGTACTTGACCTAGCAATATCCAACACCGGCAGTCTGCAAATCTATTCTTCAAGGATGAACTTTGCCTTTGTCAACCTCTCGAGCCAGCAGTATTCAAAGCTGAAAACGTGCTCTCTGACAGTGAACTTTGGATGGTTCTGCCTCTGAGACTGACAGCCCATGAAGCCAGCAGCCTGCAACTCTACTGCCTCCCAGTGACCTGGATGTATTCCTCCCCATTCAGCTGCTTTGTGCATTCCAAGCCATAAGCATGCGCTTAGGAGCCTGTGCAAGTACGTGGACCATTTCCTTGAAATATATCTCTCTATATGCATATATATCTGTATAAGCATCTTTGTTTTCCCTTATCTAGAGAACCCAGCCTAAGAAAAATGGGATCCATGCATAGGATGACGGGAAAAGCAAGATATAGTGAGAATTTAATGAGACTTTCTAATGAATGGCATCAATCTACAATAATTAAAATTATAAAACAAACATATAGGAATGATTGAAATGAAAAAAGACAAAAAAGGGGGAAAATTAAACAGAAAAAATTTAATGCAGAGAAAAGGAATTGATTTGGGATTTGGAGTTTTCCTTTTTTTATTTTATATTGGTTTGTATACAAAATTTTTAAAAATTGTATTTCTTTCATGTACATTGTGTTTCACACATTCCTCTATTCTCCTAATGTTCCCTATGCTCATTTCCATCTATTGAGTTTTATAAAATGAGTCACCATTGATCTATGCCCACTATAATTACCCTGTCTTTTCACATCCCCACTGAACCTTTCCTAATTCCTTCACCCTCTCCCTTCACCCATCACATTCTGTGACCCTGTGATTCTACCCTCGCTACCCTGAGGACCCTTGTCTCCTTCTCTCTCTCAGGCATTTATACACATCTTATTCGTTATCTTTCTGTTTTTACAGTAATGGTCTTATGCAGTATTTGTCCTAATGAGTTACTTCACGCCGTATAATGCTCTCCAGACTCTCATATGTTATATATTATTTTTCAAAGTTGTTGCTCTTGAGTGTACAGTATTCCATCATGTGAATGTACCACAAATAATCAATTTGTCTGTTGATTGATATTTGGGCTGTTTCCATAACACTTTCATGAACATCAGTATACAAATCTTCATTTGTTTTCTCAGTTTTGTTCTCCTCGGGGTATGGAAGGAATTGACATTGAAAGGTAGTGTACCACAGTGACTAATGGTGCTTGTTGTTGTTAAGTGCCATTAAGTCGTATGTGACTCATAGTGACCCTATGAATGAAAGAAAGCCCTGAACACCTGTATGACTTCCGTCGTTTCTCCAAGTTCATAGAGTTACCAGAGGCAAGCAATTTCAGAAGTGGATGCTGCTCCTGCTTTTAAGCTTGTTTTAACTGGGAAGCTCCACCAAACACCGTCCACCATGAGTAACCATTATCACATTTGACACATCAGTGTCACAGTGTTCAGCATCACAGCAACCATGAACTACCTCTGTACAGCAAATGCACAGACCACTTCTATACCACTTAGAAAAATGTTTGACATTCAGATAAATCCAGAGTTCAAACCCTGCTCTATCACTTACTTGGCAGGTAAGAACACTCTCTGTACCTCCATCTGCACCTGTGTAAAATAGTTACTTAGTTACTATATGGACATGTGGACTGACATGAGAATTAATAGAGTTTAAACATAAAGTTCTTGGCACAATGCCTACATGTGACAAGTGCTGTTGTTGTTAGGTGCTGTCATGTTATATTGTTGTTAGGTGCCGCTGATTAAAGTATGACTCACAGCGACCCTATAAACAAGAGATCTGAACCCACTCCTGTCCTGCGCCATCCTCACACTTCCTGACACACAAGAGCCCATTGCAGCAGTCACCGTGTCAATCCACCTGGTTGAGGGGCTTCCTTTCCCTTGCCGATCCTCCACTCTTCCCAGTATCATGTCCCTCTCCAAGGATTAGCACCTCCTTGCAATATGTCCAAAGTATGTGAGGCAAAACCTCCTCATTCTTGCCTCCAAAGAGCAGTCAGGCTGCACCCTCTGCAAGACATATCGGTTCAATCTCTAGGCCGTCCATGGGATGTTCAGTGCTCTCCTCCAACACCACAGCTCAAAGGCGTCAATACTTTTTCTATCATCCTTATTTATTGTCCAGCTCTCAGATGCATAGTTTGATGCATCTCGGCTTTGGAAAGACCATGGCCTGAATCAGACGCACTTTAGTCCTCAAATTGACATCTCTACTCCTCAAAAATTTGGAAAGGTTCCTAATTGCAGATTTCCCCATTGCAATGTGTCTCATTATTTCCTGACTGCTCATACCAAGGGTTTTCATTGGGGATCCAAGCAAGATGAAGCTGTTGACAGTTTCAATCTCCTCTCCACC